TACTGTCTTTTCTCCTTGCTTTAAATAATGGTTTTTCCTTCGTGAAATCCACTCCACTTGTGTGGTCCTTTGAGATTGTCTTGCATCTTTTTACCTCAATCCTTGTATTGTTATATAAATCTGTTTCTCTGTCTCTCTCTGTCTGTCTCTCTCTGTGTTTGTCTGTGTGTGTGTGTGTGTGTGTGTCTCTCTCTCCCTCTCTGTCTCTCTCTCTATATATATATATATAGATATAGATATAGATATAGATATAGATATAGATATAGATATAGTAAGCTCCAGGAAAAGTGAGGACCAAATTTTATTTCTATGATGTCTGGTCTTTAGTTGATACTTATTAAAAATTTGTTGATCATGACTGAATTCTGTTCGCCTTATTCCTAAATTTAGTGATTATAAAAGATGATGGAATAAGTCCTCTAGAATTTAATTAAGTTGAGTTTTTACATTTTTAAGTGGTACAATTATATATTTGTGCTTCAGACCTTAGTTTTCATTACTTGCCTGTTATTTTTGTCTTGTCACAACAGGTAACTAAGACCAGATAGCATTTTTCTACCTCCCCAATAAAAACTGCCTCCAGTTTTTCTTCTTAAACTGCCTATATTAATGGTGCTGTCATATTTGAAGCCACATTCCAAGAATTATCTTTATCTTTTCTCTTTTGATCTCTCATCAAAACTTACAAGCTCAGAGAATTAGCTTTTGCCTGTTGTTTATAGCATGACAAGATATTGTAGCAGATATTGTTAATTTTGTCTTTTGAAATTGTCTCAGGAGGTTGAGACAGGAGGAAGGAGGATCACTGCAAGTTTGAGACCAACCTGGGCTACAAAGTAAGCTCAAGGCCAGCCTGAACTGCACAGCAAGACCCAGTCTCAAAAAGACCAAAAAAAAAGTCTCATGCAGTAAAATACTAGGTTTTATTGTGTTTCAGGGGAAAGTGATATTATTAAATGAGCCCTTTGCTTTCTTTTTCACAGCTGGATGGCTCATCATTTACAATGACATTCTTTGGTCAAGGCTATAGCCAAGGTCTTAGTACTGATCAGAACAAACCAAATATGAGAATTTGTACTCAAGTGAGAGGACCAGGTATTTTTCTATGACTTGAGAATGCTTGGGAGTTTCAGATTGTCTTATTCTATAAGGTGGTATGCTATTACATTCTTTTTAAAGCTTAATTGTTGTAGAAACACATTTGTAAGAATGTAAGTTTAAAATTATTCTGTCAACTGGAGGGTTGAAATTATTAGTATAAACCAATTGTATTAATGCAGCCTTCCCTCTGGTCATCTTTTTCATTATTATTCAGTAGTTCAAAGTAGCAGTTTTTAGTTATTACTAAGAAAGGGGGCTAGTTGATGTTTTATCTGCTTTAGTCTTATAGTTAAGCAGTGTAACAATCAAACCTGTCACACATTATTTGTAGACTTTGAATACCTGACATTATTCGTAAAACTGTGTATGCACAGGCATATTTTTCAAAATAATGATTTGGCTTGTTAAAAGGATCTCTTGAAAAATTTTTCCTGTAAAATTAGACTCACTTTATGAATTATAGTGTAAGTTTAATTACCATTGTCCCAGGGAATTTTAGTCAAGCCACGTGGCAGTGACGTGCTTGCATCTTGCCTCCTTTTTAAATTCCCACCTGGCTAGTTGACGACAAGGGGTGCTAAACATATTATGGTGAATGTTTAAAAAATTTATTGCAGTAAAGGACACATTGCAATGAATTCCCCTAAAATATTCCCTCTTGCTTCAGATACACCTATCCCATCATCCTTGCCACTTTCTGGAGCAGTTTTGAAAGTCTCTGTGAGGGTCTTTAGCAGGTGTGATTACAAAAATATAGTGAATGTTACTGCCAAGTGTCATTGAACAGGACAGGCTCAGAAACTTTATTCACTAGACTTGGCACTGTGTGACTTCTGGCTGTTCCACAAAGTCAAAATGATCATGAAAGGCAGTTTTCAATCAGTTCAGAACATTGAGGCAGCCACAACAAAGAACAACTAAAGACATGAAAGAGATCTGCCAGAACTCCTTCAGGAATTTCATATAGGAAATTGAGTCCCGTCCCCCAGATATCTTATTAATTATATACATGCAGATGTTTCTTAAATTTCAGATTTTTAAATAAGTCCCTAACATTTTGGATGAAGAATATTCAACCTGTGCTAAATAAATGTTAATTGTTATTTTTGAAAAGTGACCAGAATATCTACTGGGAAAAATTCTGTAATATAGAATAAGATACAAAATCTGATATTTCATTTTTGAGTGTTTTTGATGCAAACCTCATAATATTTTCTTCCCCTTAATCACCTGTTTTCTGCAGAGGCTGGCTATGTGACAACCCCCATAGCCATGGTTCAGGCCGCCATGACTCTCCTCAGTGAGGCCTCTGATCTTCCCACAGGGTAAGAAGGTTTTCTTCTCGTGAGAAAATATCTTTTGTACTATGTTACATTTTAAAAATCTGATTTTCAGGTTTTGAGTTCACACATAAGTATTTATAGTTCTGTTAAGTCAAAGATCAGGCTAATTAAATAGCAAGAAGGACAATTCTGCATTGGCTTTGCAGTGAATAACTGCAGAAGTAAAGGAGAAGAGACAAAGAAATCTGAGAGCCATGTAAATTGGCTTCAGTTTCCTTACAAAAATAGCTCAAGTCCAGAGCCCACCACTCAGAAAAAGTTCCTGTTGTTAAATAGCATGGACAGGAGCTCTGGGCAGTGCTGCATGACCCGCAGCTGGCAGGGAACCTGGCTGACACCAGGAGTCCTGGAATCCTGGCTAGATGGGCACCAAATGTGCTTTTACTGGAACAGTTAGCTGTTACCCTGAAACTAGGCCACTTTTACATGAATATATACCTGCAGCTGAGAAATAAGTCAGGCATAACCTAAAACAATAAAAGGTTTTTTTTTTTAGCTCAGTAGGACAAGTGCCTGCTTGGCAAGTGCGAGATCGTGAGTATGATCCTTGGTACCAAAAAACCCAAAACTAACAAACAAAAAAACAATAAAAGTGTTATTTAGTAAAATTTGTATATACTGAAACGTAATAAAAATTTTCAGGTTTTGCTTATCTATCCTTTGAAAATGTTTGGTGTTTTCCAAATGTTAGCTATTGAAGAAACCTCTTTTCCATCCATTTTGTCTTGTTTATTCATTAAAGTCCGTTTAATGTTTCCAAACCTGAAGGCTGACTTGCAGAACAACAGCACTTACTTGACAGTGTGCTCAGGAGCAGCCAGGAGCACAGGAACAGTCTCACCAAGAACTGAACCAGTCTTGGCTGAGTGGCTGTGACTCATCTCTCTTGCAAAACAACTATTTGTGCATTTGGTTGATTTTAGGACTAGAACCAAAAACAACCAGTGACAGGATAAAGATTTAGGTTTTCAGGAATCCCGCTGGGATTTGCTGCCCGAGGAGGGGCTGCAGAGGACAGATATGAACAGTTTTCTCTTGCTACTGTTTTACAGGGGCGGGGTCTTCACACCTGGAGCCGCTTTCTCCAGAACAAAATTGATTGACAGACTCAACCAGCGTGGTGTTGAATTTAGCATCATTAGCAGCTCTGAAGTCTAAACATTTGAAGATTAACTGAAGTTGTGAAAGCATGAATTAACAGCTTCTGTATTTGATATTTTAAATTCTATAAACCTATCTGACTGTCTGTGGAAAAAAGATCTGTCAAATCTAAAATATCTACACATTAAAAGCAGGAAATTACTAGCTGACCTTAAACTTCAGATCCCAGCTGATTTTATGACTTTATTGCTTGTGAGAGAAAAACTAATATTTGACTTCAGTGAAAAAATTGAAGTGTCCCTGATGAATTTTTATGAATGAGCTGGTAGGTCAGGTGGTGGTGGAGGGGTCCCGGTCTGTATTGCTGATGGCATTTCTCAGTGAGAGTACGCAGTCCCGCGCTCGGCTGGAGCAGTCCCTGTGGCCTTGCTTGCTGTGGGATCAAATGGAATCTCACCCTCCAGTGAGTTTCTCTACGTGCTGTGTGAGCCTTTTCTATTTTAGCGTGGTTTTTCACCTAACTACACTGACTGATTTTGGACTGTTACTAAGTTGAATAATAAAGGGTTGCTGATGATGGTTTTTTTGGTTTGGACCTTCCTTGTGTGTGTAGCGGTAGACACGTGCTGCTTATGACCTCAGCCTGTTCACTGTCAGTTCTTTCTCTAGTTCTCCACCTGTCATTAGTTCTAAGAAGGCAGCTTGTAAGTTTCTGTTGATCTTCACTGCTTAAGCAAAATTTTTCTCTAATTTACCTTTTATATTTTAACTAGGGTTTTTTCACCTAATTAAAGCTATAAAATAAGGTGAAGAACTTTTATCATAAACACACGTGTACTTTCGTTTTTTTCTAAAAGCAAAACAAAAAATAGAAATGATACAGAATTTTTAAAAAGTAGGAAATTAACACTAGTTAATATATTCATGTTGTTTATTATATAAAGGAGTTAGTTACCTTTTATGAATTTCTGCTCTTAAATGAGAAGCATAAAATCTATGGCAGTGTATTCATGTTAGGAGGCTCTTCCATACTGTGTCTGTACTAAAGAAGTCAAAGTGTCTAGGGAAATTCTTTTATTTCTAAATTTTATTTTAAATATTTTCATTAATAACTGATTATGTACTATATATATTTGTGGGGCACAAAATAACATTTCAAAACATACATGGTAGAATGAGCAGAGTAGTTGGAATATCCACGCCTCAAATACTTACCACATTTGCAGTGAGAACATTTAAAATCCTATTCTGAAATGTGTCACTATTAACTGTAGTAGTTTGCTGTGGGATACAACACTCAAAACTGCTTCCTGCTAACTGTGACTTTACCCACTGACCAACATTTCCTTTTTCCCATTCACACGGTCCCCCCAAGCTCCTGGTAGCTATCAGTTCTCCTTTTTTGTTTCTCTGTGTCTAGTTTATCCCACTTAACAGTGTCCTCTGGGTTCATCCATGTTTTTGCAAATTACAGAACATCCTGTTGTTTTTTTAAGGCTGGATAGTATTGTGTGTATGTGGTGAATGTTTGTATTTTAAAAAAGACGCATCACACTGACAGACACATTGTCATTAATGCCCCTCAGAATGCTCCCTCTCGCTTCAGACACTTCTCCCATCATTCTTGGCACTTTCTGAAGCACTTCTGGACGCCCACTTTCTTTTCTCTATAGTATGAAAAGTACAGGGAGTCCTAGTGCTAAGGGCTGTGTAAGGAATGGCAGGCTTGTGAAAACACTGGTGTATCTTCATCCCCTTGTTTACCATGTGACTTCTGGCTTTTCCTCAAAGTCAACCATGAAAGGTAAACATTTTGAGTTGGTTCAGGACATCGAGACAGCCACAGCACTGCAACTGAATTTTAATGGTAAATGCTTACAGTGTGCAAGGTTGCTGTACAGTGGTGCCTTGGTTCACAAACTGAATTTGTTCCACAATTCTGGAGAAGATGGCCACATTCAAGTTTGTGTGGGGAAGATGGCTGTGGTCGTGTTTGTTACCCAGTGCAGAGTTTGCAAATGGAAGCAAAATTTTGTCACTGTTGTTCATGAATCAAATCCTTGCAAACAGAAGCGTTAATGAGCTAAGGCTTTGCTGTGTATTTATTAACTGCGGTAGATACTGATACCCATTTAATGATGAGAAAAGATAGGCTTAGAGAGGGAGAATCAGTTACCCCACTCAAATTGATAAACGATGTAGTTTACCAGGATTTAGCCCTGGCTCTGATCCCAGAGCTCAGTCTGTTAGCTTCACATTTTACCTTCATCCTGCATGTGAGCTGATTTTTCTACCAATGTAGCAGTGTTGTTTGTATTAAAAATGGAAGGACTAGGTTAAGCAGGTGAATTAAGCCCCATTATCTACACAAATGGTCTTCACCACTCAGAGGTCAAGTGTTGGCAGGTTTTACTTGGTGTGTGCTCATTGTTTGATGCGCAGTAAATATTCTCTCTTCTTTTTCACTATGAGAGCAATGTCATTTTTCAGTTTCCACAGGCTGGATTCAAGCAGGTCCCCAAAGTCCTTTAACATCTGTGATTGTTGGTGTATGAATGGCCGAAGCATTTGATCATCTTCCTAAAAAATAAGTGAAAGAAAAAAACAATAGTATCAGACTTCATCTCATTAGGGTAAGAAATGTTTTGTGCACATGTAAGTGGGGGTGTCCTTAAACTAGAAAACTGCATTTGAAAGTGGCTGGTAGTGTTAATTATAGAGGAGCAGTCTGGTTTCTAGAAGGCTGCCTGGACGCCAGAAACCAGTGAAATAATCCAAATATCTCAGATTGGAATGTTGTGTATCCTTTCAGTACTATTGAGGTTCTCAGGTTTGCAAAGGAAGTCATGAGGATGGGGTTCTCTGATGTATCCCCCACCCCATGGAAATAGGTTATCCTGGGAGGACACTTAGAGAACCTCTACCTGAAGGTACTGGTCCCTAATTCTCCACAGAACCAGTGGAGAAAGTTGAATTGCAGGGTTCTAGGGTATATCTTCAATTTATATTTGGTAAATGCCCAGCAATTTTTAAGTGGTTGTTCTGATTATGTACCTCTAGCTATGCATGAGAGTGTCATATCTTCTCCAATTTTTGATGTCACTTTTTAGTTTTTGCCATTGTGAATGGCTTATAATAGTATCTCATTGTGTGTCCCAAACTATTAATGAATTTAAGCACTTTTTCATATATCCATAGCCTATTTGATTTCTTCATTTATAAAGTTCCTGTTCATGTCACTTGAACAGTTTTCTTGGGGGGGGTTGTTTTTGTTTTGTAGTTCTTTATTTGGATATTAGTTTATCATATGTTAAATGTTTTGCAAATAATTTTCTCCATGCCTTTTGGCTTTCATTTTGGTGTCTTTTGATGGATTAAAGTTCACAATTTTAATGTGTGTGAATTTATCTCTTTCTTGAAATCCAGTTTTTTATTGTTGTCTTTGTTTTCTCATGTGTAAGAAACCTTTTCCATTGTGAGGTCATAAAGTCAGACTCTTAAGGTATCATCCAGAAGTACTGGAGTTGTGCCAGATGTGGTGATGCATGCCTGTAATTCTGGTACTCAGGAGACTGGACTATGTATAGGACACAGTTCCAGACCAGCCTAAGCAAGCAAGACCCTGTCTCAAAATAGAACAAAACAAAAAAGATACTGGTGTTGTCTTTCTTGTATAGTTCTTTAATTCTCACTAAAATTAATTTCTAAGTATATAGCTTTTGAATTGATTATAGTTTCATTTTCCCCATGTCATCTTTCTGTCACTGTGACAGATGCCTGAGATAAACAACTGAGGTTTATTTTGGTCTAGTTGCTTTGGATCTGCAGCTGCAGTGTACACCCTGGTGGCAGGAGTGCACAGTGGAGGAAGACTGTTCACCTTGTGACCAGAAAGCAGAGAGGGAGAGAGAAAGAGGAGCAGAGAGGAGAGAGAGACACACCCCAGGGCCCCAGGACCCCAATTCCGCCTCAAGAGCGTCCCCCAGTGACCAGATTCCTTCACTCAGTCACCTCCTGAAAGTTCACCACCTGCCAGTAGTGCCGCAGGCCAGGGACCAGGCTTCGTTGGGCGTATGAGTCTTTGGGAACCGGGTCCCAACCACCACATCTGTATCCATCTCCAGGCACTGTTTATGCAAACGTCCATGTTGCCACACATCTGCTGCTCTGCTTTGGTAGACATCAAGTCTCTAGTCCAGAACAATCTATTCCTTGGCCTTCTATTCTTTTTCTTTAGTATCTATATTTGAGTCAGTACCTTAAATTGATACCAGGTAGGGCACGTCTTCCTGCCATGTTCCTCCTACCTGCTTTTTGATTTGCGATTGCATATACATTGTAGGGCATTTGGTTAGGGTTCATTTCATTCGCTTAGGAGTACCCTGAATATTAGGCAGAAGGGACAGATTTACAATAGCAAATCTTCCAAGCCATGGAAACATGGCATATTTCTCTATTAGGGGTATCTTTAACATCTGTCAAACAAGTTTTAAATTTTTCTTCTTAGAAGTCCTGCATATTTTAAGTTACAGACTTAAGTATTTCATATATTTGATACAACTGTAATTGGTATATTCAAAATGGTTTTTGTTGCTATTATAGTCAAATGCAATTAGTTTTTAAATATGAATTCTTAACCCAGAGCTTTGTAATTCTATTAATTTATAAACTCTGGGATTTCCCACTTATTTGAGCAGGTGGTCTGGAAGTAATATGGGACTGCACAGGGTAGCGAGGAGAGCATGCCCTGTGCATCACTGGCCCAGCGGGGATCTTAGCCCTGCAGTTTGCTAAGAGCATGCATCCTCAGGCAAGTTGGCCAACCTCTCTTGCGCCTTCACCCACTGACTGTAAAATAGGCTAACAGTAGTACCTGTCTCTAAATGTATGTGCAGACTTGAGCCACTAAATGTAGTGTGCTTAGTGTTATGCACATATATGCCATATTGAAATTCCTTTTCCCCTTCCCAATCCTTCCACTTTGTGTTTCTTGTCTCACTGCACTGGCTAAAACCTAAAAAACAAAAATGAACTGACTTGCATCCCTAACTCTTTTTCTGATGTGAAAAAGAAAATTTTCAGTCTTTTACTGTTGAACATTACTGTTTGCTTGAGATTGTCCTTATCAGAATGAGGAATGTCTGTTATATTTTTAGTTTATTAACAGAATGCTCAGTTTTTTCACATTTGCTCTGTGTATAGTGGAGTAATCAGACTGTTTTCCTCTCGTGATCTCTCGCTTTTTTTCTTTTCCTGTTTTTGTTTTTTGTGTCTTTGAGTAAGGTCTCACTATGTAGCCCAGGCTGCCCTCAAACTCCCGGCAGTCCTCCTGTCTCAGCCTCCTGAGTGCTGGGATTTTAGAGCCAAGTCCATTTTTACTATAATCTCTTAATGCAATAAATTACATTTGGTTTTATAATGGTAAACCCAACTTGCATTTCTGGGATACTCTGTCTATTATAAAATGAATGACTATCCTGCAGTGGCCATAGCTGTGTGGAAAAAGGCCGTTGTACACTAAAATAGGGCAGAGCAAAGATGGAGGGAGGCCCAAGGGAGAAGAGGACTCAAGCTTGTAAGGCTTTAACTTGCTCTCTGCTTAAATACACAAATCCCCAAACAAAGGAAAGGCAGTTATCACAGATGTCCAAATTTAAAATGTCTAAATTGAGTGGAAAGAGGTCCCCAGCACTGAGGCTACTCACCGGAGGCTTGTGCTGTCTCACTCTGAGAAACTGCGCTCTTGCCAAGTTCATGCTTTGGTAGAACACCTTCAGAGCTTTGGCAAACTCTTTGTCACAGCTGGCTTGCTGAGTGCATATTTGATTAATCTCTGCGGCTGATGGCATTGGTGCCGTCATCTGAGTTATTTTCAGGATATTGGAAGGCTTATGGGCTAGGATAGAAAAGAAAGTTTTGTTTATTCATCTGCATATTTAGTTATCTTGATACTGATTCTGTTGTCAGTCTTGTATATCTACATTTATCTGCATATTTGTAGCATCCCTTTGGATGAAATCTTACAGGGGAGGAAAAAAATGTTTTTGTTTGATCGTCCTTTTTATTTATGAAACAAGATAACTGTATAAACAAACCCATTAAGAAAGTCATGTGTCAGAAAACTGCAGGGCTTGGGGATAACCAGCCATGAGCGAAGCAGCCTCTCACCTTGCTGACTGCAACCAAATTTCTCCAGTGATTCCTTGAGAGTCATATTTTCCTCTCTCAGGGTTCTGTTTATGTTTCGGAGCAGTTCCATCTCCTGCTCTGACTTGAGCACCTTCAGGTAAAGTTCTGATGTCAGATTTGATGCAGTCTACAAAAGATGTCAGTTCAGCCTTTTGCTAGATGGTCTGGGTTATCCTCTGAGCCTGACAAGTTTTACTGCCTTGTGAAACCAAGGGGATTGGGACAGGGGCACTGAGGAGCCTGGTTTAAGCCCCTCAGAGTAATCGGGAATCTGTCAGGTCTTTCATTAAGGGACATAAACCCAGATGATCCTCAAGCACCTGCCGTCTGATATTTTCTGGTCATCTCTGATGCCAGTTTTTATGTACACACCTGGCCTGTGTCCTTCACACTGGGAATTTTCTTGGTGTCTAGCATGATGTGACCTTCACCTGTAACCATGAGGTCCAGCCGAGAGCAGCTCAGCTCAGCACAGCCTTCTGTAATGTGGGAGAAACACCACTGAGAAAAGCCCAGGTAGGGCGTGAGATGTTAGACCTTGTGCTCATCCACTGGACTAGAACCCAGGGCCCAGGGGCAGGATGGGTCGTGCCCAGATCCCCACAGCCTCCCTCCTTTCCCCATTCTGCAGCATGAGGCCTACTGACACTGTATCTGCCTGAACACTACACCATGCAAAAGAGATGAGCAAGGTACCTTGAAGGCCCCACAAATCAACTATGAGAGCATTTGTCTGTAAATAATTCAGAAACTCCTGAGATGCACTGAAGGCTGCAAATTGGACCGTCTCTTCAATTTGAGGATTCACAGTTTTCCATACAGGCTTAGTATATAAAGTGATTGGGAGGTCATAAATTCTGTAACTGAGAAAAGAACACAAGGTATAATTTAAAATCAGAAGGAACGCATTTAAAGCATGGGAGGAGGGCTCAGTGAGCCAAAAGGGTGACTAATAACCAGTCGCCATGGTCACTGCCTCCACATTGCGCTCAACACTGGCATCATCACTACATGACTAACAACGTCTAACAGGATTTTAACGTTTTCTATTGTTGATTTTCCCCGTGAGGTGGTGGTTTAGTTTTTGTTCTTCAAAGTACCGCTTTCTGTATTGCTTTACCTTTCAGTGTGTCTAACATAATCAGTATAACCGTATCTGGTACATCTGTCTTGTAACACAGTTTGTTTCCAACAAAAACATTTTACTTAGTTAATGCAGTTTCACCTGATACTCTTTCTGGTAGGATTTGACTACTGCTTCAGTCACATAAAGGCCAGTACTCACTGACCACAGTCTAGTAATGTGGTGGTGGGGAACCCGTGGCTTCTCTTGTTAGATTGGGGGGGGGGCAGACATTTTGCAGTTGGGTGAGTGCAGAAAGATTAGCATTTCATGATAAACTCGTATGTTAAACTTGAAGACTCCCTCCCTCCTTCCCGCCAGGAACACACAGCATGAGTTAGCGCCCACAGTTCTGTGATACAGGCTGGTACCCCATCTGAATGCCCCGCCTTGCAGCTTCCTTTAGCCACTTGATGCCAAGGCAGCGGACAATGTGAATCTGGAAATCAATCCTCTTGCCCAGAAGCTCCAGAGGGTCAATGACCACCTCCTCCTCGCTATGTGCCCTGCAAACAGAGGTGAATGCTGATTTCAGATTATGCGAGGTGAAGAAAGAGCATTGTGACGTCAAGGGAATGAAATGGAATCCTTAAGGAACAGCTAATTTCACCAAAGGAAGGATACTGTTCCCAGTTGTAAAATTCATTCACTCAAGAGACATGCTGTAGGCGCCTACCCTATCCTGGTGCTTCAAGGTGATAATGAGCATCTCAGGCACTCACTCGCAGCCCATAGAAGGAATTACAAACAATGTCATATGATAAATGTGCCCGGGTCTGGGTGGTAAGCTTGCACTGAAGATTTAGGTAGGGAAGGAGGGAAAGTCAGCTGGCTGCACTGGTGCAGCCACTCAAATTATTTTCCCTGCTGAATTATTTTTAGTTCAGAGTTTATCTCAGACTGAAAAACTCAGATACTAATTTGGGCAGCTTTCCAACAGGAGACCTGTCACACCAACCAAGCTCACAAAGCCTGAGCCCTAAGCAAGAGTGCCACTTTTTTTGCAGTATATCCATCAAGCAGCCTAGAAAACCAAGATAGCCAAATGACCAGAAAGGTTGCCTGGAGTCCCAGTAGAGACAATGAGTTGATCAGCTTGGTCTCTTGATTAGAGGACCTTAAATTGTTTTATACCCTTCTTGAGCTAGTTTCCTCTTAGCAAGACAGGAAGGTTGCACTGTGCGTCGTGAGGTGTTGGATTCCAAATCAGGCTCCTGCCAGCATCTTTGTTTAGTATTGCTAAGACTAGCTTTCATACAAACTGCCAATGACCTTAGAGAAAACAAAACAAAACAAAAAAATAAAACAAAACCCCAAAAAAGACAGAGATCCTGAGAGGAGGGTAAAAGGTAGCAGACCAGAAGTTAGGACTGCACTGATAGCTTAAAAGTAAGCCTATAACCACAGATCAAATAGCCCAGGAAGAGACCAGGTGTCTCAGTCCCTACTTTGAGGGGAAAAAAGTGGTCAGGCCTCTACCAAGGAGAAGAAATGAGCTGGAAAAATCATCTTTCTGCTTCTGGCTCTTGGGCCTTCAGCATGGAAAAGCATCCTGTGCATAGCAGACACCAGACCTTACAGGTGCCAGGAGGGGCAGTGGGGGAAAGTCCCACAATGCATTGGCTTTGTCCTCTGAGGGTCCACTGTTTGGATCCAACTCAGGGTTTCTGAATCTTGGCTGATGCGCCTTCTACTCCCCTTCCTGCCTCCCTGCCTCTGTGGGATGCCCTCCTCACTCCTTTGGTTGCTGAGTTGTCTTGAATGCCGCTGGCTGTTCCCAGTCAGCTGGCTTGGCCACCATAGTGGAAGTCAGATTCAGTGAGGCTACCTCAGGAGTGAATGAGTGTATTCATTTGCCTCACCAATGACCACTTCAGGTATCAAACTGAGCACTCCCTCCCCAGGAGAACTCAAGCTCGCTGAGTGGGACTGACGCTGAACTAGGGGAAGGAAGGAGATACCCACCGTCCTGTTGGGGAGCAAGGCGTGATGTGGATGTGCAGCACTGCCTCCTCCAGCCCATCACTGTTCAGAAACTCCACCTGATCCTCAAACTGCATGCAGTAGGCCAGCGACTGGAGCCAGATGTGGGCCGAACCCAAGTGGATGACCTCGACAGGATCCCAGAAAGGGTCATCCTCCTGAGCCACACAGCTGTCTTCTCCTTCTAGAAAACGCTGGTAAAGTTCCTCCATCAGGAATTTCCTGTTGATAAACTTGGCTTTGGACCAGATCCACACCTGAAAGCATAGTGGTAGGGCACTTTGCCTGCTGCTGTAACATCTCTGACTTTCCCAGTGCGAGCCCGCCAAAGGCTGAGGTTTGTGCGCTCAGCATCACATACCGCTCTTACAAATTTAGCTTTGGTGAAGCCCTTTGAGAACACCATGTTCATCCTGGACCTGTTACAACCCTCACCACTGCTTGAGCTGTTTGAGCCCAGGAGATGACTTAGAGGAGATGATCAGATTCTCCCAGGAAAAATGAGTTTTGGGTTTATGGCACAAAGAAGAGAGGCCTCAAAAGTCACAGTCCCTGGGACCTATAAATATGTTTACCTTATGGGGCAAAGGGAATTAAGGTTGCAGGTGGAAATAAATTGGCCTAGCAGCTGACCTTAGAATGAAATTAGTCTGAATATTCCAGAGGGGCTCTGTAATCAAGGGCTTTAATGTGGCATGAGAAGAATGGGTCAGAGAAAGAGTTGCAGTGAGAGAAGCAGGTGAGAGAGAGGACTTGTGGTTAACGTTAAAGATGGAGGAAGATGACCGCGAGCCAAGGAATGTTGGAGCCTCTGGAAGCTGCAGGAATGCAGCAGGGAAGCATATTTCCCCCTGGGACCCCAGAGAGCAGGGCAGTGCTCTCACACCTTGCTTTTAGTCCAGCAGAACGATAAGTATAGGGCATTTAATGGGTTGGTGGTAATTGGTGACACAGTTTGTTCAGAGATTCACCCCTAGTGAGCAGCAAAATTCAGGGTAAGACCCTGCTGCTCTCCGCCTCTCACTGGGTAAAGACAGCCTCTGTTACCAGCACCTGCTGCAGAACAAAGGACAAAATCTTAAACTTCAGCAGGAGGAATTCCAGCTAGATAGAACATTTCTTTACTACTAAAGTCATATTAGTACTTATCAAAATCTTTCTTTGGACAGCTAGAATTTAAAAAAAGAGATAAGGTATTCTTTCTCTGAGTGTTACATATCTTCATTAGCAGGGCACTTTCAGGCTGAGGCAGGAGGATTTGAAATTTGAGCCCAGCCTAGGCAACTTGAAGACTTAGATTCTGACTCAAAAAATAAGGGAGGCCAAGCATGGTGGTACATGTCTATAATCTCAGCACTCAGGAGGCTGAGGCAGAAGGATGTCCACCAAGTTCCAGGCTACCGTGGGTTACAAAGTGAGTTCAAGGCCAGCCTGAACTGCATAATGAAAACTTGACTCAAAAAAAAAAGACACAAAAAATTTAAAAGAGTCTTAGGATAGGGATGTAGCTCAGTGCACAAGCTTTCTGTCCAATCCCCACTACTACAAAAATAAACAACGATAAATACAGATTTCCTGCCTTTTCTGCTAGCTCTGGCAAAATGAAGTGCTCCTCTCTCAGTGTTGTATAAGATTAAATGAGATTATGGTGTTGGCATTTGCTCCAGGAACAGACTGCCACAGGAGTTCGCATTGTGTTTCTTAAATAACTTTTAGGTGTGGAAACTAAGATAACAGAAATTAACACGGTGAAATGTGGCCACTGCTTTACTAGCTGTGGCCTGATGGTGGTCTGCCTGAGGAGGAAACCAGGCCAGTGAAGCCCAGGGACAGGTTGGATATCTGTGTGGCTCCCTCCCCACCCCAAGGCAGGCTCCAAAAGCCTGGCTCAGACATCCGGCTGGATGTGCTGCTCACCTGAGCCAACAGTATTGGCAAGTGTCAGTGTAAAGGAACTACAGACCTGCAGAAGTCACAGCTTCGAAAACCCTTCCTGATAGTATGTCCAACCATCCCTAAGCCCTCTCCCATATTACTTGCTTAAGAAAATATCTGACAACTGTCCTGGGTTCTACTTCTAGTAATGGCAGGTTGTGAAATTCAGGCAATCATTCTGCTAGCAACCAGAAAGATTGCATCAAGATGAATTTCTTCAAATTACCCTTAAGCTATACAAAAGAAAAAAGAAACTTCTCAGAATAACATGGATAAAAGATGTCAAGTTACAAATCTCCTTAATCCCAGGTCTGACAAGATGGTAGAAAACTGCTGAACCAAATTCTGGAGAGGAAAGCATGGCTCTAGAGAGACCTTTGGGAAATGAACACAAAGCTGTTTTGCCCTGATGACCCTGGCAGGGGCAGCAACACAGAAAGCACAGACACGTGGTAGGGCTCAGCACAGGGCATGCTACAGAGGTCAAGACTGACTGGGAGCTTATGGGGGTGTCCTTCACCAGCTTGGTGAGACCCAAGAGCTGGTGCAAACGTGTGCCTCCAGAGGAGGAGGCCTGAGGAGGCCAGAGGAGGAGGCTGAGAGTAACCCCAGGGGTTCACAGTCTAGGATTCCGGACCAGACAGCATCAACACCTGGCTTATTAAACCCAGGGACTGGGGGTGGGCACACAGGTGTTTATAACATACATCCTGTGAATTATGCATGTATAGCCTTTTTCTATATTTGTCTTAATTCACAATTTTTAAAAAGGTTTTTAAGAAAAAGTTTTAAAAATTGTTCTTAAAAAGCTTAGTGCATAGAGACTTCCGGAAGAACATGGTGGATAAATAGCAGCAGTTACAGAAGCTCTCTGAGATACCTTGCTTAAAATCCAGGAATGGTGCGGTATGAGGAGTCCTAAGCAAGGGGAGATACACCCTGCCAACCCAGGGATGAACTAAGCTAGAGAAACCAACTGGAAATCCAATCCTGGTGCTATAACATAAACAGATAAAATCTCAGCACAGAAGCTAGAACCTGCACCACTGGAAGCCGCGATTTGAATTTCCTGTTGCCGCTGCTGTGTCCAAATCTGCTAGGCAGGGAGAGAGACATGCAAAAACTCTGAGAGCGGAAATCTGCAAACGGAGTTGAGAGCGGGACTAGCAGGGAGCCCTACATCGACTCGCGGTGAGTGAGCGGATGGGGACCCTTTCATAGAGTAGGAGGCTCCAGCAAAGGACATACTGGGACCAGGCAGACTTGCCAGAACAGGACACTGCAGTGACATTAGTTGCATATTCCCCTCTCAAGTGGAATTGGTGTGGAGTGCTTGGCCTGCGTGACGCCGCTGACTAAGACTCAGTAGACTAGCCCAAACCAGGTCCCAGCACCTGGAGGTGCACCCTAGCAGAGAAGCCTTCAGTAGGTTGACCTGGAGGGGTGGGCCAAGCAGAGGCTTCCCAGGTCTGTGTCTCCCTAGTACACTGCAGTGGGCAGGAACACCTAGCTGGTTTCCACTAGGGAAAAAAATTGGGCCTCCTACATTCGCTTGTATGAAAGGAACAAAAAGTGTGGGAAGAGGGAGCAACAAGAAAGGGTCCTCAGTCCCCAATCCTGAGAACACTGATCCAGGAAAGGGAAACGCAAAGGAAGACAGAAAACATGCAATATCAGACACGGCACCAATAGACATAAAGCAATATCTCAAGAGCCTCATAGACGAGTTTAAAAATGAAGTATTTAATGAAATAAAGCAAGATATAAGTAGATATAAGATATAAGCGGGGTGCTGCAGCAACTCCAGCCACGTATCCCCCTCTCAAGCGGGATTGGTGAGAAGTGCCTAGCCTACGTGATGCTGCTGGCTGAGACCCAGTGGGCTAGCACAACCCAGATCCTGGAGCCTGAGGGTGGCCTGGAGGGGCGGGCCCCACGTAGGCTGCCTGGTCTGGAACTTCCTGGTGTGCTGCAGTGGGCGGGAACACCTAGCCGGCGCAGTTCGATCAGGCTGTGGCTGACAAGAAAGGAAGCTGGGCCTCCTATATAAGCTTGCATATATAAGGAACAAAGAACATGGGAAGAGGCAGCAACAAGAAAGGCTCCTCGGCCCCTAATCCTGAGAAACAGGTAATAGCAGACACCACACCAATAGACATAAAGCGCCATCTAGAGAGCCTCATAGATCAGTTCAGGAATGAAGTTATTAATGACCTGAAGCTAGAAGTAAGCAGAATAGTTAGAGAAATGCTAAGCACCACCCAAGAAAAAACGGATGGTGGAATGGAAGAACAGAAAAAGAGGGGAGAATTGTTTGATGGAGAAAATAGAGAAAGCATAGAATACGTGAAGCAGGTTCAAAGGGACTATAAGGAAACTAAAAACTCTATTGAAAACTGGCATAACAGCTTGAAAGAAACTAAGGACAGACTATCTGACCTGGAGGGCAGATTTGTAATATGGGAGAATGAAATGAAAAACTTCTTAAAAATAACAAAGAAGCAAACAGTAGCCGGGAGAACATGGCGGACAGATAACAGCAACTACCGGCGGCTCTCTGAAAGACTCGGCTCAGAAGCCAGGAATGGTGCAGACTAAGGAGACATAAGCAGGTGGAGATATGCTCTGCTGACTCAGGAACGAACTGGGCTGAGAGAAGCCAACTTGGAATGCAGTCCTGGTGCTAAAACAGGAACAGAAAAGACTCGGTGTGGAGGCTGGAACCGTGCCATTGTAAGCCGCGATTTGGGTTTCCCGCCGCGCAGCGGCTGGCTGCCTCTACAGCGGCTCGGCAAGGGGAGAGACGTGCAGAAGCTCTGAGAACGGCAATCTGCGAACGGCAGGGAGGCGTGCACTGACTTATGGTGAGGTGAGTGAGAGAAACTGACACTCTACCACAGTTTGACTCCAGCAGAGGACTTTCTGGGCCCGAGCAGTCCTGCGGGAGCAGGGCGCGGTGGCGACTCCAGCCACACATCCCCCTCTCGGGCGGGATTGGTGAAAAGTGCCTGGCCTGCGTGACACTGCCGGCGGACCTGGTAGACTGTCCCAACCCAGATCCCAGAGCCTGACGGTGGCCGGGAGGGGAGACGCATAGGCTGCCTGGTCCGTAACTCCCTGGTGCGCAGCGGTGAGCGGGAACACCTAACTGGCGCAATTCGATCAGGCTGTGGCTGACTGGGAGAGAAGCTGGGCCTCTTATATAAGCTTGCATATATAAGGAACAGAGAAGAAGAGGCAGCATGGGAAGAGGCAGCAACAAGAAAGGCTCCTCAGCCCCCAATTCTGAGAAACAGGCAATAGCAGACACTGCACCAATACACATAAGGCACCATATAGAGAGCCTCATAGACCAATTCAGGAATGAAGTTATCAACGACCTGAAGCTAGAAGTATGCAGAATAGTTAGAGAAATGCTAAGCACCACCCAAGAAAAAACAGGTGGTGGAATGGAAGAACAGAAAAAAAGGGGAGAATTGTTTGATGGAGAAAACAGAGAAAGCATAGAATACGTGAAGCAGGTTCAAAGGGACTACCAAGATACTAAGAAGTCTATCGAAGACTGGCATAACAGCTTGAAAGAAACTAAGGACAGACTATCTGAACTGGAGGGCAGACTTGTAATATGGGAGAATGAAATGAAAAACTTCTTAAAAATAACAAAGAAACAAATAGCAATAATACAAAGACAAGAAGATGATAAGAGGATCCATAACTTAAGGATTAAGAACATAAAGGAAGAAGTAGGGATGCAAACAAGTGAACTACAAAAGCTACTCACAGAAATAATCCAGGAGAATTTTCCTAATTTAGCAAAAGGTAAAGATACTCAGATGTATGAGGCATACAGGACCCCAGCTACCTACAACCCAAACAGAGCAACACCCAGGCATATAATAATAAAAATTCCAGAAATTCAATACAAGAACAGAATATTAAAAGCTGTCAGAGACAAGAAACAGACCACTTACAAGGGAACACCCATCAGAATTACAGCAGATTTCTCTGCACAAACCATCAAATCACGAAGAGCGTGGGGGGAAATAATTCAAGCATTGAAAGATAATAATCTCCAGCCAAGATTGAGATATCCTGCACAACTGTCCCTGGAAATTGATGGAAAAACAAGGTGCTTCCAGGATAAAGAGGAACTGGGGGAATTTGCAACCACCAATTCAACTCTACAGAAAGTATTGCAGGATATTCTAAAAAAAGAAAAATACAAAGAACCCAGAAATAGTGGCGGGGAGGCCACAACAAATGGAGCAGAGAACAAAATGAAGAAGACAAACTGACAGCTACTGACAGAAAAAGAGCTTAACAGAAATGAGGCAGAGAAGATTGGATGATAGGAACAGCTATTTTGGAGAAAATGACATCTTAATAGGTAATACTGATTTAGTATCATCTTGTTTTGAAGTCTCATCTAGCTTTTGTCCTTCTGTCTCCAATGGTCTAAATAGGCTGTATCTTATTGGATTTTATTATGTACGATAGTATAAGCAAAAACCTTTTAAAGACAAGGAGATTATACAGAAACCATTGTTCATTTTCTGTTAGTCGATTCTAAATACTCTGTAATGCTGTCATTCTCTTGAATGGTTTTACATTGTTTTGATATACTTAATGCTACAGTATACGAAGTTGTACTCAAGGATTTCAAAGAAAGAAACAATATGGTAACTACTTTTAGGTTAGGATTATCTGGTGGTGAAACACTATTCTGCTTAAATGGTTATGTTTTGATCTGCGCTGTTTCGTTGTTATGCCCTCTTTTATCTCAATCTCCACTCCATTATTTACTTTTTTTATCTTTATCCTTTTAATTAAAGGAAAAAAATAGCAGGATATATTATAGTAACCCATTTTGACTTTTCATTACCTTGATTTAAAGCCCTGTATTACTCTCACCATCTGGTTTTTAACTGATGTTCCCCTATTCTGTTTTGCTGGATAGTATCAGGTTCGAAAGTTTAGGCATCAGCTGTGAAGATAATGAGATTCATTATGACGCCCATTCTTGTTGACTTTTAGCTACTTTTGAAGACCTACAATGTCTCCAATGTTTTGGTTTTGTCGGTTTTATTCTTTACTGTTTTGTTCAATTGTATTATAACTAATGATATAGGCAATTCTATTAGAGATAGCGGGAGACATTATGGTAACCATTGTTGATCACCTGTATTATGTTTTTACATTATCTATTATGTCCACCCTTTTGACTTGACCGATTCTGTTCTGTTATGTCACATTTGGTTTTACTCTCTTCCAAAAAAGTAATAAGAACCGTGGGAGCAATGAAACCCAAAATGTGTAATAGTCATGGTACAAAAGAGAGGAAAAGAAAGTGCTCTAAACTATATAACTGCATGTATATTTAAGTGTATAAGATAGAAAATGATATCACAGAGTTTTATTGGATCAATGAACAGAACTGTTTGCAGTATCATTGATGGAATGTCCACTTTACAAGCTTTAATTTTGTGACTTGAACAATTATTTCTAAGATGACAATATGTAATCCATTAACTAGTGATTTCCTAATGTTCATTTTTTTCTGTAAATCTATATAACTTGTACCCTTTCCCTGCTTTTTTTTTCTTTTCTCCTTAAATAAAATTAAAAAAAAAAGAAACAAACAGTAATAATACAAAGACAAGAAGATGATAAGAGGATCCATAACTTAAGAATTAAGAACATAAAAGAAGAAGTAGGGACACAAACAAATGAACTACAAAAGCTACTCACAGAAATAATCCAGGAGAATTTTCCTAATTTAGCAAAAGGTAAAGATACTCAGATGTATGAGGCATACAGGACCCCAGCCACCTACAACCCAAACAGAGCAACACCCAGGCATATAATAATAAAAATTCCAGAAATTCAATACAAGAACAGAATATTAAAAGCTGTCAGAGACAAGAAACAGACCACTTACAAGGGAACACCCATCAGAATTACAGCAGATTTCTCTGCACAAACCATCAAATCACGAAGAGCGTGGGGGGAAATAATTCAAGCTTTGAAAGATAATAATCTCCAGCCAAGATTGAGATATCCTGCACAACTGTCCCTGGAAATTGATGGAAAAACAAGGTGCTTCCAGGATAAAGAGGAACTGGGGGAATTTGCAACCACCAATTCAACTCTACAGAGAGTACTGCAGAATATTCTAAAAAAAGAAAAATACAAAGAATCCAGAAATAGTGGCGGGGAGGCCACAATGAATGGAGCAGAGAACAAAATGAAGAAGACAAACTGACAACTTATGACAGAAAAAGAGCTCAACAGAAATGAGGCAGAGAAGATTGGATGATGGGAACAGCTATTTTGGAGAAAATGACATCTTAATAGGTAATACTGATTTAGTATCATCTTGTTTTGAAGTCTCATCAAGCTTTTGTTCTTCTGTCTCCACTGGTCTAAACAGGTTGTATCTTATTGGATTTTATTATGTACGATAGTATAAGCAAAAACTTTTAAAGACAAGGAGATTATACAGAAACCATTGTTCATTTTCTGTTAGTTGATTCTAAATACCCTGTAATGCTGTCATTCTCTTAAATGGTTTTACATTGTTTTGATATATTTAATGCTACAGTATATGAAGTTGTACTCAAGGATTTCAAGGAAAGAGACAATATGGTAACTACTTTTATGTCAGGATTATCTTGTGGTGAAACACTATTCTGCTTAAATGGTTATATTTTGATCTGCGCTGTTTTGCTGTTATGCCCTCTTTTATCTCAATCTCCACTCCATTATTTACTTTTTTATTTTTATCCTTTTAATTAAGGGAAAAATAAATAAAAATAGCAGGATATATTATAGTAACCCACTTTGACTTTCCATTATCTTGATTTGAAGCCCTGTGTTGCTCTCACCATCTTGTTTTTGACTGATGTCCCCCTATTCTGTTTTGCTGGATAGTACCAGGTTCGAAAGTTTAGGCATCAGCTGAGAAGATAATGAGATTCATTATAATGCCCATTCTCGTTGACTTTTATCTACTTTTGAAGACCTACAATGTCTCCAATGTTTTGGTTTTGTCGGTTTTGTTCTTTACTGTTTTGTTCAATTGTATTACAACTAATGATATAGGCAATTCTATTAGAGATAGTGGGAGGCATTATGGTAACCATTATTGATCACCCTGTATTATGCTTTTACATTATCTATTATGTCCACCCTTTTGATTTGATTGACTCTGTTCTGTTATGTCACATTTGGTTCTACTCCCTTCCAAAAAAAATAGTAAGAACTGTGGGAGTAACAAAACCCAAAATGTGTAATTGTCATTGTACAAAAGAGAGGAAAAGAAAGTGCTCTAAATGATATAACTGCAGGTATATTTAAGTGTATAAGATAGATAATGATATCACTGAGTTTTATTGGATCATTGAACAGAACTGTTTGCAGTATCATTGTTGGAACGTCCACTTTACAAGCTTTAATTTTGTGACTTGAACAATTATTTCTAAGATGACAATATGTAATCCATTAACTAGTGATTTCCTACTGTTTATTTTTTTCTGTAAATCTGTATAACTTGTACCCTTTCTCTGCTTTTTTTTTCTCCTTAAATAAAATTTAAAAAAAATAAAAAAAAAAGAAAACATGGATTTTCCCACTGCTTTAAAATGACAACTCTTGGGGCTGGGGGCTTAGCTCAACAGCACAAGAGTCTCCTTGGCAAGTGCGAGGTCATGAGTTCAATCCCTGGTGCCAAAACAAAAACAAAAACCATAAAAAAGGAACTGTCTTCTGTATGCATGTGCACGCATGCACACAGACACACACACACACACACACACACACACACACACATTCACACATGTGGACCAGTTGGTTAAACTTAGGGTGACCTTATGGTATTAAAGTTTTTGAGTCACATTAAAAATGAAGAGACTGCTCTGTGGTAGAGATTAGGAAAGAGTCCATGAATTGACACCATTTGGAGGGGGGACAAGCAGAGGGAACATGAAGGAAGGTACCCCAGAACTCTGACACGTACTGGAAATTTTGATAAAAATTCCCTAGAAAATCCCTGGGGAGGCTTGTGCCTGCCCACAGATACGTACTCACCTCATGAGTCCTTTGGTTGGTCACCTTCACCATGACTTCTTTTTGCAGGTCATAGCCCCTGGAATCCGATGATGCTAAATTCTTTACCTTCAATTCCATTTCAAGTCCCTGGTGAAAAAAATATTTCTCACCAACTAATCCATTTTTCAACTCACATCCCTTTTCTTAGTCACTTTTCTCTTTGCTAAGACAAAATGCCCAACACCATAAGTTAAGGGAAGGAGGGTATAGTTGGCAGTTTGTAAAGGTTTCAGTGCATAATCAGCTGGCTCCAAAGCGGGCTGGCATGGCAGAGGGGCATTGCAAAGTAGAACTAGTTTATGGCAAGCAGAAGACAATAAGAGCAAGCAACAGTGTCTTTCTGCCCCTCTTATCTTAGCCAGGCTACACGGGGTGGGTCACACTCATACCCTTAATCCTAGAGCCCTTGAGCCCAGCATTGCACCATGAATCAATTCCAGCATCACACACTCTAGATCCAGCCACCAATGACTGCATGAGGCTTTGGAGGGACCTCTAGACACAAGCCATAATATCCCCTTTTGTAATTCATGTTCCTTGCAGTCTTCCCACACTCGGGCTTTCTAAATGAACATGGTCCAACTCGTTGCTACTTGAAATTCCACCAAGACAAATGGCAAAACACCAGAATTTCTCAGTGATATCCTGGAACAGATGCTTCCTACATATGAAGTGATTAATTCTCTTACAAGTTTCCTGCCAACTGGGATTTTCAGCAGTACCTAACTCCAGCCCCAGGCCCTCTGGGTGGTATAGCAGTCATCGTGGTACCCAGACCTAGAGAGCCATTAGAGCAATCATAATTGGGGTGGTGATGGCTCTAGCCCAAGGTCAGCAATGGCAGGAATGGGGCCCAGCGCTGGCTGGAAAGGCTTGGGTGTTGTCTACTTTTTATTACTAGCTTACTATGTGGTCTTGGCTGCACGCCTAAAGGCTGCAAGGTCCTTTCTGGGCCTAATGCTATGCTGTTTTTCTGGCTGTCGATAAAGTACCTTCTTTAGCTCTTCACTCATTTGATTTGCTTCTGCAACCAGTGGTCTGAGTTTGATGTAGTCCTGGAATACAGCCAGGACACTGGGGTCTGCTTGGCCGTCTCCACTGCTCACAGCACCTGACAAAAGAATGCAAATGGGATCCTCCCCTTTGTCCTCTGACACTTTCCAGCTGTGAACACATTTATACGCTCATTCATTCATTCATTCATTCACCCCTTTCAACTCAATCTCAGCTGCACCTTGACAGCAGACTGTGTAGTCAAGTCCCATTTTTGTTTTCAAAAAGCCTTTGGCCCAAGGTGATTCCATATGTTCCTGGTGGAGATGGGCAATAAAATCCAGTTGGCTAAGGATTTTACCTGGACATCTCCGATAGCATGGCAAAGCAAACTGCTCTTTCTTCTACTGTATTTAGGTGGCTTGAAGGAGGGGGACATGCAGAGTATGGGAAACCCAATCCTCTCCCAACACAGGCTCCTGCCACCTCTCTAGGGAACTCTCAGCTCTGTAGGTCCCTGTCTATGCTTTGCAGTGGCCTGTGGTCCTGCAGCCTGACTCCCTAGGACGCCCACAAGGCTACCCTGTTGAGGACCCACAATCACCCCTAGCACACAAGCACCTTCAACCCAGGGTTTGAGGCTGGCTCAGTGCTGCCCTGTGCTGGATGAATGGGTGGAGACTTGTTTGGCTTTGGTCAAGAACTTCAGCAGAAGAGGAGCAAGGAGATGAATTTCAAGCCAGTCTATTTTACTAAAATTCTGAGAAAGCCACTTAGGTGTATGGAGAGGGGAGGAACTGGCTGCATTTTGCAGTAGCATCCCTGTTCTCCACCCATGGTTTAAGGTGAACAAAGCGTGGGTGCCTCACCTGGGAAGCCTCACATCACAGGCCTCTCAGTGGGGTCCACTCTGCCCAAACACAGTGAACAGAATGGTAGTGGAGAGGAGGCAGGCCTCCATCGAGGCATGCGGGGAGAGGGGCAGGCAGAGGCAGAGCTTCCGAATGCCTTCACCCTGGAGGAGTCCCAGATAATTGCAAAGAGGGTGGAAGGCCCTTGCATGGAACAGAGGGTCTCTATCGAACTCCAAAACCTTATTTCAGCATTCTTCCTCCCTTACAGTGAAAATCATTCTTGTCTACGATCTTTTAAGCCATCTGTACTTTTATTCCTTGGGGAAAGTTTAATGAGTCAAACAAATCTTTGATATGGATTCACTCTGTATTCACGTAGGAATCATAGTTTAGCACTGATGTTTGCGAGAGCTTGCACATAGGTTAGCTCATGTTGTGTTCTGACCCAGTGAAAGATGGTTTGCTAAGGAAAGCAAGAGGGCGCTCAGTGAAAGCAGCTGCTCTCATTGGCATGTGGAAGACACCAGAAGCTGCCTTGGGGTCCTCACCGAGCTTGTCCACACTCACTCCCTCCACGGCCGCCCTCTCCAGCTGGAAAAAGTCATAGTCAAATCTGCTCAGGTCCTCACTGCTTCGCTCTGAAGGAAACCCCACGTAGAGGTAGGCGCTGCTGGAGCCCAAAATGATGCGGTCCTAGGGAGGAGACACAGACGTGGAGGTGGACCTTGGCGGGGCAAGAGAGGTGGGTCAGCCTCTCAGGAGGAGCCACCACCTGTGGCCTCACACCAGAAGGCTCTAAGAGATATCTTCTCTTGGGAAATCCTCCAAATTTCATGGGAAGAGCCTCACGAAGGAGGAGGGAAGGGCACCACCTTGAATGAAGAGCCCATTTGCCAGTCTAAAAGGGACAGACTGGAGAGGAGAGTGCCACGGAGAGCCCATAGGAGTCACTGAGGCAGTAGAGACTGCTGAGAGTGGATGAAGAGGCACTGATGTTTGTGAGAGCTTGCACGATTCCTCCTACGGACAGACGGGCTCTTAAAAAAAAAACTCACATCACAAATGTGAGAGCTGGAGGTATTCTGGAGACTACCTAGTGCCGCCCTGCATGTTTGGTAGGTAAGGGCCAGAGAAGTGGCTTGCCAAGGACAACGCCAAGTTAGGAGCTGTGCTCACATCCTTACTACGAGCCTGAGAGGTGGGCAGCGCCCGGCCACACCTGGTCCCCATTGGCATGACTCAGGGTTTCTTCACACGAATCTCTTCTCCTAGCTCTTGGGTGGACTTAGGTACCTCTGTGGCCCTGCAGGAGATTTACCAGATGATGCAGCTTGGTCCTGGTGGTGATAGGCACTCCATTGACGACAACCTTGCATTTGCTGTATGGAGTAACCGTCACTTTACCATCCAAATTCGTGAAGGAAGCATGTTTATCTGAAATTCTAAGAAGACAAGAGTGTGTCCCAGTCACCCAGTGAGCTACCGTTTCAGTGCCAGTTAGGTTGTTCTCATTTCTCCAAGCTGCCAGAGAACACTGGGGAGATTTGCTGGGGCCTCCCGAGTGTCACACTCACGGTGTGCGGAGACAAAGAAGAGCCCTGCTTTGAGGAGCATAGAGAAGTGGAAGACAGCAAAGCAGTCATTGTATTAACAGAACGAAGCCCAGCTAAGGGTCTAGAGCTGCAAGGAACCAGCAGATAGAGATCATTGTGAATCTTCAAAAGCTCATGGCCAAGGTAGAGAAAAATGAAACAGAAGTCTCAGTAGCTAGTATATGAGATCAACCTAATGTCCTTCCACAGAGGAAGATAAAGACCATGTGGTGTCCATATGCCAAGGAATATTATTTAACCATCACCAAGGAATGAAACCCAATTATTCTCTGCCACATGGATGGCACTGGGGGACAATCTGTGAAGTGAAATAAATCAGGCACTGAAAGACAAGTACAGTATGTTCTCACAGGTGTGGAGCTAAACCATCAATCTCAAAGAAGTAAAGAGTAGACTGTAGTTACCAGAGCCTAAGAAGGGAAGGAGCGTGGAGAGGGGATGGTTAATAGGAACAAGGGTATAGTGTCACGAGAGGAAAGATTTCTAATGTTCTATAGCACAATAGGGAAACTATGGTTTACAATGATCAATTGAATATTGCAAAATAGCCAACAGAATTTTGAATGTTCTCAACACCAAGAAATGATAAATGTCTGAAGAGATGGATATGCAAATTACCCTGCTCATTACTCACTGTATACATGTACTGAAATGTTACACTGTACCCAATAAATATGTACAATTACCGTGTCAAAAACAAAACATAGAATCAGACGATAATGCCAGTATAACATACCAGAACTTATAAAACACCATGAAAGCAGACCTAAGAAGCAAATTTATTACTATGAATGCTCACATCAGAAAAACAGAGCAAGCCCAAATAAATAACCAAATAATGCACCTCAAGGTCCTAGAAAAACAAGAACAATCCAAATCAAAAGCTGATATAAAGAAGAAAATGATCAAAATCAGATCATAAATTAATGATATTGAGATGTAAAAAAATACAAAGAATCAATGAATCAAATAGATATTTCTTTGGAAGGATATACACAATAGACAAACCCTCAGCCAATCCTATCAAAAAAGGAGAGGCCTAAGTCAATCCAATTAGGAATGGAAAGGTGAAATTACAACAGACACCTCTGAAATCTAGACTCCTAGCAACTAATTTGAAAACATGTATGACAATAAATTGGAGAATACAGAAGAAATGGGTAGATAAAAAAGAATTTCCTATAAAAAAGAATTATCAAAGCTGAAACAGAAAAGATGTAAAAATCCTGAATAATCCAATCACAGGCAATGGAATTGGAGCAGTAATACAAAATTTACGAAGCCTCAAAGGATTCACTGCTAAATTCTATAAGAATTTCAGAAAATCTAATGCCAGTGCTCCTCAAACTCACTAGTGAAATTGAAAGGGGAGGAGTACTCCTGGAAACTACCATTACTTTGATTTCAAAGCCAGACAATGATCCAAATAAAATAAGAGAACTATAGGCTATTATCTTTTTTTCCCTGAGTTTTCATGAAAGGCTATTATCTTTAATGAACACAGATGCAAAAATCCTCAAAAGGTCCTGGCAAACAGAAGGTAACAAATCATCAAAAAGATCATACATCCTAACCCAAAATGTCCTTACCCCAGGATTGCATGGATGGTTCAACATGTGGAAATCAATAAATGTAACATCACATAAATAGATGCAAGGACAAAAACCACAAGACAATTTCAATAGATGCCAAAAAACTTTTGACAAAATTCAACATTCATTCATGATAAAAACCCTAAAGAAAATAGGTATAGAACGAACTTATCTCAATCGGATAAGAGTCATTTCCATTTATGACATTTATGACAAACCTACTGGCAAATTGAGAATAACTGACTGCTTTCCATTGAAAATCAGATACAAGACAAGGATGTCTACTATTGCCATGCTTATTCAATACAGTACAGAAAACATTAGAGCAATGAGGCCATAGAAAGAAATAAAAAGTATATAGATAGAAAAGGAGGAAGTTAAAGTCCTGTAGACAGGAAATAAGTCATTTGCAGATGACATGATCCTTTCATAGAAGACCCCAAAAATTCCACCAAAATACTCCTAGAATTAATAAGCAAATTCAACAATGTAGCAAGAATTAACCTAACAAAGGAAGTAAAAGACCTCTACCATGACAATGACTACTCTGAAAAAGGAGATTGAAAAAAACATCAGAAAATGGAAAGATGACTGGACGTGGGGGCACACACCTGTAATTCCAGCACTCAGGAGGCTGAAGCAGGAGGATCACTGTGAGTTTGAGGCCAACCTCGGCTACCTAGCAAGACCCTGTCAAAGAAAGAAAGAAAGAAAAAGAGAAAAGAAAAGAAAGAAAGAAAAACGAAATGGAAAGATGTCTCCTAGATAAGCAGGAGAATATGTCCTGTCTCATTTCTACCATTCTTCATGATAAGACAGTGCTACTGAATTGACCTGATTCATTACTTGGAGATGTCCTTGAGGTGATTCCCAAGGTCCTGCTCATTGCCTGTTCTTTCCTCAGTTTCTCCGCCCTTTGTCCTTGGCCCTAATAAAGTGGACTGACCTAGAAAATCCTTTGTCTTTACCCTCAAAACCTCAAGCTTAATTAAAGAGTTTTGATCTTCTTGGAGCCCTAAAAATACGATTTGTCTTTTAAAAAATTTAACCTTTGCCATACACTCATGTAGGAGATTGGGGATCTAGGACAGGACCTGATACTAGAGGATGCAGAAACAACCTCAGGCATGCTCAGCTACTGGATTTCCAACAAATGGGCCAAAATCTGGTGGAAAGATAGCCTCTTCAACAGATGGTTCTGGGAAAATTGGTTATCCACATGCAGAAGTTTGAATTTAGACACATGTATTTCATCATGTTTTAGACTAAAATAAAAGTGAAGCAAAGATCTAAATGTTAAAACAGAAACAATCTGCTGGGAGATAAAATAGATAAAACTCTTGAAGACATCCACAAGGACTCTGAACAGAACCCCATTTGTGGAATAACATCAAGAATCAACAAGTGGAATTACATCAAATTAAAAACCCGCACAGCAAAGGAAACAACAAATAGACTGAAAAGACAAACTAAAGGACTTCCGGGAAGATGGTGGCACCGTGAGCAGCAGAAAAAGAGCAACTCCAGTAACTGGTGTCCAGACGCGGGAAAATAGCAATGTGAGAAGGAGAAGAAGGAAGGAGATGGGCCCTGGGACCCAGGAAGGATCTGAAGAAGAATTGAAGCCCATGAGGAAAGTGAGAGAGAGAATTCAAGGAAGAACAGGGAGGTGTAGGCAACACTTTCTCTCTGAGCCCAGACTCATTGTGTGGGAGGAGCTGCTCAAATCCATAGATACTCGGTGACTACTGGTGACCACAGAGGCCTGCATGGAGAAACTCACCAGTAGACACAGGGAGTGGACACAGGGAGTACAGTGGCTGGCGAGTTATTTGGGTTCAACTGTCCCCTAGGAGAGGGTGATTTGCTGGGAGCCAGCTTGGACAGAGCCAACAGAACTCAGAACTCAGAGCAACTGCTGACTCCATCTGGCAGCTCCCAGTGTCAGGGTAAGGGGACCAAAGAACCAAGTCCAAGCTGGTGGGAAGTCAGGGAGCCAAGTTCAAGCTGGAGAGGACACACAGACTGCTGCAGGTTGAACAGGTCTAGTTCCCGCCTCATGGCCAGAAGCCAGCCTGAACTTCAGCAGAACTCAAGGTGCAGGCTTGCTGGGATTAATCAACTTGAATTTGGTCTCTGTCTGCCCACACTGTCTAACAGTGGCAGCAGGGATTTATATACCTTGAAGTGAACATTGTTTTCTTTATTTCCCTCTTGTTTTTTATTTTTCTTGGTTGTTTGTTCTTGCTTTTATGAGTTTGAACATGGTTTCTAGTTTTGTTGTCGTTGTTTCTTTCCATTCTTATTTTTATTTCTTTCTTTTCTTTCCTTCCTGTTTTTTTCACCAGTTTCCCAATATTTGTGTGATCTTTTGTCCTCCAGCCTTGCTTCTAATTCCTTCCTCTTCTATCTTACTATTTTCCCCTTCTAAATTTTCTTCCCTGAGGGTAAAACTGTGACATCGAGGGCTCATGACTGCACACAATTTTCTGACTTGTTTTAGATTTTGTTATATAACCACAAGTCTAGTTCATACAGTTAAAGGTGGCAAATTAATGGTTACCTCAGTTTGTCATTTTCTAGGTTGTATTTGATGCTACTGCTTTTGCTGATTGTACCATTTAATTAAAGTGACATAATTGTTCTAGCCAGTTCTTCCTATCGTGTCAAAACTGAGCTTGCTTAAGAGTCATAAAAAACACTACAGTCTATAGACCAGTGCCAAAGAACCAGTGGCCAGGTCAATTAGGCAGCAATTTCTCATTCCCAAGAAGTTAAAAAAGTAGGATCTTTCAACAGCCTCAAGACTCAAAAGCCAGTTAAGACATCTCTGAGAGGGCTGGGGTTTAGCACAAGGTCATGAGTTTGATCACAGCTATCAAAAAAAAAAAAAAAAGCATGATATGGGCCAGGGACTTAACCTGCTTGGCAAGCACAAGGTCAGGACTTTGATCCCTAGTACAACAAAACAAGACAAAACCCTCTGAGAAGTGGTCATTTCCTAAGGGTTCTAAATATTAGCAATAACACTACTTGCCACAGGCAATTTATAAGCATCAACCCAGGGAGGAAAAAAAGAAAGAAAAGAAAATGAGAAGATACTAAAACAAGATGCAACCCCAGACCTCCAGTTCACCAAAGGCATACCCCAGGGGCAATGAGGGAGAATAATCCAAAAGTCACTCACCTGGACTCTCTGGAGTATCAACAGCAGAGATAACAAAGCAAATGAATATG